CCCAATGCTCATTCACTACAGCGGTCTCGCCAAAGTATGAATAAGATAATGCCACTCTTGTGCTCTTCATATCTGTTCCTGGGTAGAAGCCAAAGCTCTCACCAAGCCCTCCTGGTCTGCCCGTCCCATCCCTGCCCCTCTCCTTTCCACCACAGCCTCATCTGCCTCATGGTGGTTGCTGGCACCCACCAGGCATGCTTTGGCCAAAGGGCCCTTGCAATTCTTATGCCTCCTGGGAAGAATGCCCTTCTCCTAGATACCTTTGACCCACTTCCCTCATTTCCTTCAGGTGTCTTGTCACATGTCACCTCTGGGGCCGTCTCAACCCCTGACCAGCCTGTAGAACAAACAGTGCACTGTCCAATAAGAACCTCCTGCGATGCTGGAAAATAGTCTACCATTCGTCTTGTCCGACAGAGCACCCCCAGCCACATGCGGCTTTGGGGCACTTGCAGTATATAATCCGGTTGCTCTGTGGCTGAGAATTTACCGTAATGTAAACAGCTACCGGTGGCCACTGTGGTTAATCCTCTGCTTACAGAACACAACCTCTTACTCCATTGCAGCACACTGTCCTCTGACCCGGCTTTATTACTTATTTTTTAATTTACTTATTTATTATTGTTTTATTTGGGGCTCTTACAGCTCTTAAAACTGTCCATACATCGATTGTATCAAATTCATTTGTGCATGCATTGCCATCATTTTCAAAACATTTTCTTTTTGCTTGAGCTCTTAGTATTAGTTCCTCTTCCACCCTCGTGGACCCCTGATAAATAATAAATTGTTGTTGTTTTCATATCTTCCACTTCCTCTGTATCCCTTCACCCACGTTTCTGTTTTCGTCCCCCTAGGTGGGGTGAGGGGAATTATACATCACCCAGCTTTATTTTCAGCTCTGCTCACAGCACGCCACGTCAGAAAACAGGATGTTTCCTGTTTGTTTGTGGTTGTTTTCTTTCTTTAAAATAAAACGCTTTATCCCACTGGCATGTCCGTGCCGGTGGACCAGACTGGGCCTGGGCTTGGGCAGCGCTGAGTGTCCGAGCCTGGTGCACAGACGGCGCTCTGTGTGCGCCTTGATGCCCGCGTGGCCGCATGAAGGGCGGATGGCAGAGAGTGCCCTCCTCCATCCTGCAGCAGGACATGCGCCTTCTCTGCTCAGCCTGCCCTTCCTCCGTGGCCCCGCAGAGAGGACACCGTGGGGCCTCTCAGCCGCCGGCGTGTTTCACTGCAGAGCCGGGTGCAGCTCGACAGTGGGGGCCTCCATGGCAGCGGGCGTGTCTTGCTTGCTTGTTGTGTGAAGGCGGCCCGTCAGACGAACGTGACGCCGTGCATACTGCTTTGTCCCATAGTACTGCTTGGTGGTTAAATTCTTCTTCCTAGAGACGCTTCCTGGGTGGGCTGGCCAGGCTACTCTGGGAGGAAAGCACGTGGTGGCATCTGTTCTAAAGCAACCCACACGTTCACGGAGAGAACATGCTTCCTGCAGAGGACCATGCACCTCTGGACCCAACGCCGACCATCCCGTGACCCGGCCCAGGGGCAATAGCAGTGTGGTGAGGGTTGAATTTTTACTTGAAGCCAGTGCCATCCACAGCACCATGGGCTTCTGAAACTAATGATCATCTTTTTAACAGTAACGACCCACCCTCTAGCCACTGGGTGATCGTGGGAAGAGGCAAATTAAAAAAAAAAAATCCTATATACTGAGGTACTTCATGCCCAGATTTGATAATACTGTTTTTTGTTTTTGTTTTTCTTTCTGGCTTTGCCTTTTCAGGATAACCTTTTCCACCCAAAATACACTGGAGAGGATTTAACCTGTACTGTGAAAAATCTCAAAAGAAGCACACAGTATAAATTCAGGGTGAGTCAGTTATTTGGGTACCTGAACCGCTTAAGCCTGAAGCTGTGTCTGTGTTCCACGCACTTCCCATCTCAAACAGTTGTATTGGTGTATATAACACACACACATATATATATATCTTTTTCCCCCCAGTTCCACAGCACTTTACATTCTCAAAACGATCTTTCCAAATTGCACCCCGTGCTTTCATTTGGGAAGATTTGTCCGAGAGAGAAGCCCACTGGCATAAACTGTATGCTAGTGCGGCCGGGACCCCAGCGCAGGAATGCCTGGGCCAAATGCTGCGCCCACCTGGGCTTCATACCTTTCTCTCGAGCACGTCTCTGCCAGATCGGGTTTCTCTTTCACGCTCTGTGCTCTGTTTTCCGTTGCTCTCCCACCCGTTTCTGCCTCCGTACCCCACTCCCTTTTTCCCCTCCATGCCCCTGCCCCCTTTTTAGACTGCTGTGATCTCACAAGCCCAGGCGCATGGGGTTGGTTCCGACTCAATGGCGACCCCGTGTGCGTCAGAATAGAACTGCGTGAGCGGCTTTTAGCACTGATGCCCAACGCTGGCTGGCTTCCCCAGGGGGCCTGGAGGCTCCGCTAAGTGGCCTCGTGCCTGTAGCCTTTCCGTAAGAGCTGAGGAGTGTGCCAACTCTTACACAGCCGCCACCGATGCCACCACAAGGCCTCTGCTTCAGAGCCCCAGGTTTAAAGCAAAAGATACACGGGGACGCAAGAAGAACGCTTGGTTGTCACTAGGGGAGAAAAGCAGTATGCTACCTGGTATGCGGAGCTCGTCAGCAGAAACTGGGGGCCTCTCAGGTGGCTGTGTGTACCCCAGAGAGGGGCACGCTCTCTGAGTTCACCCTGCTCCTGCCACCTGGGCGCCAGGTTGTGTCATTACATAGGTAATGCCCATGTCATAAGTAGCCGAGAAACCCTGGTGGTTAATCCAAAGATCAGCAGTTCTAAACCGCCCGGCGCTCCATTGGGAGGAAACTGTGACCATCTGCTCTGGTCGCTGTGAGTCAGAATCAATTCAGCTACCATGGATTTTAATCAGTACCTATCAGTTTGTCACACCCAGCGGGTGTGAGAGTTTTTTGGCCTTAGTTAACTTGTTACCCTGTTTGAAGATAGGCACTGTTTCAGGGTTAGTTACGCAGCTTCAAGAACAGCAGTGACTGGCCGTGAGCACGCGGTTGTACTACTAGCATTTGTCCACGAGGTGGCGATGCTCTACTCAAACCTGGGAGATTGTTTTCCCCATTGCGGGACACACAAGCCAGATGGCAACGTGCTGGCAGTGCCTTGAGCAACAAGTACTCACCTTGCAGTCTCATTTTTGACTCTTGCTAGCTGACTATGCAGAAAGTAAATACTCGGTAAGAGAAGTGCTAAGACTCAGTACTTGAATTTGAGTGTGTGTGTGTGTGTGTGTGTGTGTGTGTGTGTGCGCGCGTGCCTTGAAGTTTGTTGTGTTAAAACGTAAATGTTAATTGATGAGTCCCTGATACCTAAGTCTGTTGATTTTTAAACACATAATATTTTCGGGGGGCAAGTTTACACAGGAGGAGAGGTTCCCATTCAGCGATCCCCCCACCACCCCGTGGCAGCAGTTACATTGATGGCAGTATGCCTGCAGTCCCTCCAGCCGGTCGTGTTCTGTCCAGGGTGCTTGCTGGCTTATCTCGTTACGCGGCGGTCTCGGAATAGCTCACGTTCTAGGTATAAAGAGCATCGCAGGGCAGTTATCCTGGGGAGTCTTCTGTTCTCCACTGTTCCAAGTTGTCTGGGCTTGTTCTTTTCTTAAGAAATGGAGAGCTGTCCACATTTTTCTCCCATCCTGTCAGGACCTCTTGTGACCCTGTGCCCAGAGCACTTGCCGGGACGTAGCCCATCTGGCTCTGTGCTCTCGGGAGAGACAAGGTCATGGCTTGTGCAGACGGACTTCTTGCCCGAGCTCCTGGTTCTTTTCTTGCTGTTTTGTTCCTGGTGAGCAGAGAGCCCTGGCCATTTCTCAGAGAGCTCCTCGCTGCACTTGGACACCGATCCTGGTGTTCATGGACTGTGTCAGGCCCACTGACTGCGTTATCCCTGGGGCTGTGGCCCTGAGCCTCCAAGCCCAGGAAGCCCGTCTTAGAGAGGACGTGGTTATATCTGAGGCATGTCTGCGTTTGTGGCTTCAATGAGTCTGTGTGCTTGCACCGCCTAGGTGTGTTGGCATGTACACTGATTGTACTTCCGTGGAGCCTGGGTGACGTAGTGGTTACGCATCAGGCTGCTTACTGCCAGGTCAGCAGTTCAAAGCCATCAGCTGCTCCTCCAGAGAAAGAGGATTACTTTCTATTCCTGCAAAGAGTTACCGTCTCAGGAATCCACACGGGCCAGTTTTACCCTGCCCCGTAGAGTCGCTGTGAGTCCAAATCGACTCAGTGGCGGTGAGCGTGGTTTGGGTTTGGTCTGTACTTCCAGGAACCCTGGTGGCTCGGTGGATAAAGCTCTTGCCACCTCCCTGCTGACACCAGCATTGTGCCCCTGACGAGCCCCAGTGGCGGAGGGGTTAAAGCATGCGCCTTCTAACCAGATGGTCAGTGGTTCAAACCCACCAGCTGCTGCTCTGGAGAAAGACGAGGCCATTGTTGCTAAGGAAATGCCATTCCAAGGGAGAAAGATGGCTGCCTCCGAAACCCTGGGAGGCAGTTTTCTGGGAGGCAGTGCTCTCTCCTCCGGGCTGTAGGTCTCTGCCGCTGGCTGTCTCCTTTCTTCCAGAGAGGCTTCTGTTCTCACCGACGCACACACCTGGGCGAGCTCACAGACCAGTGTGCCCTTGCCCGCTCGGGGCGCACCAACACGGCACTGTGCTTGGCTTGTGCCGGGCTCGCGGCATTTACATGCAGTGCCATGCTTCCCGTGACCAACATAATATCCTTCTGCCATGTAAAGCCCACTCCCCACCCCACGTCCTCGCCAGCTAGCCACCGGTGAGCGTCCATCTCACTCCTCTTGTCAAAGAAGGACCGTGCAACAGCTGCCCTTCCACGCTTAACTGACCTCCCTCGGCACAGTGCGGTCCTGCCCGTGGGTCCCTCCTGCCGAGGAGTGCGCTTTGTGATCTCGTCCGCCTTCTGTCCGGCTGTGTCAGTTAACCCCTTCTTTGTTGCCTTCCAGCTGACTGCTTCGAATGCGGAAGGAAAGAGCTGCCCGAGTGAAGTCCTGGTTTGCACGACAAGTCCCGACAGGCCTGGCCCTCCCACAAGGCCCCTGGTTAAAGGACCGGTGACCTCTCAAGGCTTCAGTGTCACCTGGGGTATGCTTCCTCGCCGCTGCTCTGTACCCCGGGGTTAATGTCGGGTGGCGCATGGTGGGGGACGGGGTGGCCCCTTTGAATGGGTGTCTCACGGTTGGAGCCTCTGGATTGAGAACCACCCTGAGACTTCTACCAGCGGGTAACAAGGACAGTGAATTTTGGGGTCATTTCATTTATTTTCTTACTTTTGCTGTTGTTCATGTTTATCT